TCCAGAAGACCGTTGCGGAGTCATCCTTTGATATTGCTGCTATCGAACAAAACCTGCAAACAGTTATCGAGTCCGCACCCGCTCCCAAAGCCTTGGAAGACGTGGAGATGGAAGACGCGGAGAAGGAAGAGGAGCAAGATAATTTCACGCCGGCTCTAGAGTCTCTGGCGGGTAGCTCGTTCAAGGGCTCATATCTCAGCACCCAATCCATCCCAGTGTTCGATAACCTTGTCCGGACTTTTGGCTTGGGTATTGGGTCTCAAGATAAGCTTGATGCCTTCGCCAGCCTGCCAGCTCTTGACAAAGCGAACGCTACAAAATCTCCTCAATATCTGTCTTTCTTTGTCCGGGTCTTCTCCGGGTCATATCCCATTGGCACCAGAGTGGCTGCGTTGAATATGGTCTCTTCGTTCCTCACTACCGCCTCCATTGACGTGGATCTCCAAGCGTTACTGCCATTTGTCTTAGCCACTCTTGCCGATCCTTCAGAGCGAGTTCGTCGGGAGGCTGCTGGCATTTTGACTATCATTGGTAGCCTCCACAAGAACAAGAAGGGTGATGCTCCAGGAGGTGTCTGGGCCAGCAACACAATTTACGGTCAAGACAGTCAGCCAAAGAATATCCAATGGATCCCGGGCCGCGATTTACAGAAGGTTTTCGAGCGTGCTTTGCTTCCAGGATTGGAAGAATATGTCATTGATCCAGATCATATCGGCCGAGTCCTCGAGGCTACTTTGCGTGGTTCGTCCGTTTCGGACTCGGAGTCGTCTGAGCTTAAGAAGGCCGTTCGATTAAGCTTTTTCACCTGCCTCTGCTCTCATGCTGTTCATGTCCCGCTCTATGCACCCAAGTTTGGCTTGTTGAAGCTTCTTAACCGTGTTGAAAAGGCTGGTGGAACGACCCGTACTAAGGAGCTTGGGCCGCTACTAAAGAACTGGAGAGAGATGGGTGGACAGCAGGCCAAGGATGTTTGCGAGAAGGAGCGAGTCCCCGTTTCGGAGATGGAGAACCAGATTGTCTTGACGGTGACACCAAAGGAGAGAGACGCTATCACCGTGCTTTTATCAACCGTGAGCCCGTATTCGGAGTCCTTGAGCTCTTCTTTCGTCGGCGCAGTCTTCGGTCGTATGAAGGATGTCTGGCCCAAGGTTTCTGAAGACCGGCAAGTCCTTGCTGCGGAGAATCTGTTTGAGATATCTCTGGAACAGTCTGATTCGCCACTGGTTGATGGTTGTAGGGACATCCTACGCAGTGTAGAGCTTCCGGGAGCTGTACTTTCTCAATTCATTCAGAAGATTCCTGCCACAGTCACTGATATGGAAGGTCTTGGACCAGCTCCCAAGAGAAGGCGCACCAGCCAGAGCAATATGGTCGCAATGACTGTCAAGGATGAGGCTACTCTCAGTGAACTCATGGAGAAGATGACCTTCATTCTGGAGTTGGTAGATAGTTCTTTCCCTGAGACTCACCCGGAATTGGCCGACGGCTTGTTCCAAACCCTGGCTGCTCTTCACCACTTCAAGTCTCAAGTTCAGTCAGGAATGAGTTACCTGCTCAGCTTGGCACTTGGCAGCTTGTTGGCTATTGTCAACCGCTCGAAGACCATTGGTAAGCCACAGTTCGATACCTCCGTTATTCGCGCCGATCTGGTTGTCGATTGTGTCCGCACTACCGACAGTCCTCAAGTGCAGAACGCAGCCCTTCTCTTGGTCGCGGGACTGTCTGTCATTGCTCCTGAAGTGGTTCTCCACAGTGTGATGCCAATCTTCACTTTCATGGGCTCCAGCGTGCTCAAAAAGGATGACGACTACTCTGTTTCCGTGATCGATCAAACGATTGACCAAGTCGTTCCGGCCCTCATTCAGTCATTGCGTAACCAGAAGCGTGACGTTGTGTCAGGGACATCCGAGTTGCTGCTCAGCTTCACCGCTGCCTTCGAGCACATCCCTTCACATCGCCGCCTCCGACTTTTCCACGCCCTTATTACCAAACTTGGAACGCAGGACTTCTTGTTCGCTGTTTTGTCCATGCTCGCAAATAGATATTCCATGGATAAGGATGTTTTGATCTTGATGACGGGCCTGGTATCGGATGCCAATGCTCCCGTTGAACTTGCCACCTACAGCAAGTATCTCGGACTGGTCAGCGACTCTCTCAAGTCGAAGCCTGGTATTTCACAAGTTCTCCTTGGAATCGGAAGTGACGATGGCCGTGAGCCTCAGAAGGTTGCCGTTGACCTTCTACGGGCTTTGGCCTATCTGTTTAGGCATTCTTCTCTCAAATCAAAGATGGCCAAAGCTTTCACAACAGAGGAAGGTGATGAACCTCAACAAATCCGCGCCCTTTTCTCGCAGATCCTGGAACAAACCTTGGCAATTGGAGACAACATGCAGGACATGAAGCCCGTCAGCCAGGCAAGTGGCGAAGTTCTCAGTGCACTATTCGGAACCTTATCGCTCGTCGATTTCCTCGACACGATCGAGGTGTTGCTTCAGCGTCCCAACGATGAACTCCGCCGCAAGGTTCTCCGACTTCTGGAAGGCCGGTTACGTCAGAACCCCGAACGCGACAGTCCTTCCCAAACCAGAATGTTGGACTTCTTGCCCGTCTTGGTCAAGATTGTCGAGTCTTCGCCAGACATCCTGCTCAAGCACGCTGCGGTGGCTTGCATCGACCGCATAGCCGACAAGTATGGTAGGAAGGACCCGTCGAAGGTTATCCCTGCCGCCAGGGTTGTTGCTAGTGAGGTTTGCATCGGACAGGAGGACAACCGTATTCGCATCATGGGCGTGCTGTGTCTTGCCTCTATGGCCGAAGTCCTGGGCCAGGCCATGATCCCTGCCTTACCGGACACACTCAACCGCTCGCTAGCCTTGCTTGAATTGAGCTTGGAGGATGGCAAGGAGAACACAAGGTTGCACGATGCTGTTTACTCCTTGTTCTCGGCTCTTTTCGTCCACCTTCCTTACATGATCTCCGCTTCTCATCTGGACAAGGTCCTTGTACTTTCGTACAAGTCCGCCATGAACGATGAGTATGAAGAGGAGAGCCGGCAGGAGGCGCTGAGGCTTATGGCCAAGAAGGTTGATGCTTCTGCAACGTTCGGCGCAGTCGACCGCAACTGGCAGCATGCCGTGCAAGCCGGACCAGAAGCTACGAAGGAAACTCTGGAAGTCGTCAGCATGGCCATTGAGAAGCATCCGAAGTCATCTACCGCGAAGAACCTCCCTGTCATCACCAATATTCTCTTCAAGGCGTTCGATTTGCGTCGTGAGCAACTCGCACTGGGATCGGATGCTACTTTTGACTTGTCTGATGTAGACGAGATCGAGGAAATTGTCAACGAAGTCACAATCAAGATGATTTACAAGCTCAACGACTCAACCTTCCGTCCTATCTTCACCAAGCTCCTCGAGTGGGCAACAACCGGCGTTTCAAAGAAGGATACACAGGGCAGCCTGGCCCGGCTCACGACCTTCTACAAGTTCCTGCAGGTCTTCTTCGGCACTCTTCAGGTAAGCACAATACTGTCCCGGACTCTCTTCAGCCCAGTCAACCCGACTCTAACAAACCGCAGTCTATTGTCACCGGCTATGCCAGCTACATCATCGAGAACGTAGTATCCGTCCTCGGCAAAGCCAGCCCGTCCAACCCCAACACCAAATCCCTCTGGTTGGCAACTATGCGCCTGCTCAAGAACGCCTTCGAGCATGACCAAGACGGTAAGCTTAACAACAGTTTCCTAACCCTAACCCAAGCAGATTAACTAACACAACCCAAAACAGAGTTCTGGCAATCCCCTTCACACCTCACCAAAATCGCAACACCTCTAATCTCACAACTCGCCCACGCCACTCACTCTACAACGGCAACCCTCGTCATCAACGAAGCCATCCCAGCAATCACCGAACTGGCCGTGGCAGCCGACTCCACAGACAACCACAAGGAACTCAACACAGTCCTTATGCGGTACCTGCGTCCCTCAGCCGGCCCCACCGGCAAAGCCGCCGGCGGCGAGAACCCGCACACGCGTCTCGCAGCCCTCAAGACGGAACAGGCGCTCACCGAGCAGCTGGGCGAGGAATGGCTTGCTCTGTTGCCCGAGATGCTGCCCTACATCAGTGAACTGATGGAAGACGAGGACGAGAACGTGGAGAAGGAGGTTCGCAAATGGGTTAAGCAGATCGAGGACGTGCTCGGCGAGAAGTTGGACGATATGTTGACCTGATGTGCTTTCCGATCGGGACGAAGTCAAGTTTTCAAAAGAGGTTCTGGGCATTTCTGGCGTTGGAATTCTGTTCTTGAGTGGAGATGTTCTTTGTGTATAGAAAAGTTGGCTTGGTTTTGTTGTGTTGCCCTTGAATATATAATTCATAGATTTTGGTTCTACCTACTACTGACCAGTAGAACTTTTTTTCAGCACGTCTCTGTCCGTCATCCTTCGTTACAATTTATACTATAGACACATGGAAAGATAAGAAAAATCAAAACGCAAACATCATGAGATACAAGACCCCGTATTCCCAGAAAAATACATCATGCAGTGATAAAAACAAAAGCAAATAACATACGCAAGTCAAAGAATTCCCAGGAGATAGGTAATCCTTCGCCTTCCAGCCCTAGGTACATTAAAACCCTTAGTCTTGGGATCATGCAAATCCCACACACTTGCACAAGCAACAGGAACTGTCATTCTTGTCCTATTTTCACTACTTTAGACTCGTTCTAGGAATAGCCTGAAGATTTTGGGTTGGGTTGTCGGGTTATTTCACTAGGTGATACGTTGGGTTCTAGTGGAAGAGCTAGATGAACAGAAGCTCGCAGTTGTTCTACTGATTTCACTTAGGAGAGAGGCACTTTGTGTCATGAAAAGCGAATCAATCATGTCTATTTATAGCGAGATACTAAGATATGGAATACATAGTAGATTGAACCCCTGATCTTGGTAATATGGCTCAGGTCAGAAGAGTAGAATGGACGTCCAGAGCTACCGGTGATCCTCATGTTTCCAGATCGGCCTTGAATCCATCCCGGACATTTGCGTATTTCGACCAGGTGTAATTGACATAATTTTCGGATTTTTCCAAAGCGTCAGTCCCACCGAGTTCCCGAACCAGCTGAGCCATATAAGTCAATACACTGTTTCAATATTTAGAAAGCAGATTGGTTCTAGGGCCAACAGAAAGTAAAGGAATAAAGACATACCGTGTCAATAAGGCTGTTTTCCCCAACTTTATCCATACTGGTCTCCCACCACATTCCACCTGCAAGGCCTTGCTTTTTGATATAGTCCGCCTTGGCTATGGTCATGTTCACTGTATCATACGAAACATACATCTTGTTTTTCTCGTCATAACTATAACTGGCCCCTAAATCCGGTAGCTCAACAACCGTTGCGTTAGCCAGTGGCAGCACCTTGTAATGCCAAACTCCGGGATCCCCCATGCCCGTCCCAACATCAACATAGGGTTGACCTGGCCCGGTAGTGTTGACGAATGCGCGGCCGTAAAGCGGCATTCCAAGGACAATCTTGTTGGATGGCACGCCATTAGAAGTATAGTACTTTATAGCATCATCTGTATTAGCGGGGGTGGTTTCAGGGTTAGAGGAGTTGCCATAGAGGTTAGCTGCATGACCCGTTGCATTGGCCCAACTACCGACGTAGTCGTATGCCATCAAGTTCCAGAGATCGAGATATTTATCCATCTCAGACATCTGGAGAGCCTTGTAGTTTGACGGCCCTGAGACTTGTCGTTAGCTCTCTTCTTCTGTGTTTTGAAGGGGCCACACATACCGGCTGAGCAGGCGATGGTTAGGAGGAACTTTTTGCCATTCGCATGCTGCTTACTGCAACTGTCCAGTTCCTGTTGGTCGGTTCTTAGCAGTGTGTCAAGCAAGAGCGGTAAGAGAATTGTTATTGGAACTGGATTGTCATATGTATCTCCTGATGTATACGCAACACATACCTCTCTTACTTGCTTCAGGAGAGACACCATATCCTTTGCACTCTCTTTTTTGGGATACTACATGATATCAGCCTAGTGAAATGATAAAAGAAGAAATATAAGGGAAAAGCTGACCTCCCAATCGATATCTAAACCATCAAATCCCACATTATGCATCAACTCGACAGCCGTCTGGGCGAACGTCTTTCGATTTGCCTCAACTTTGAGAATACCAGCCCAAGTTGTGTTTGAGTTTGTGTATCCGCCGATCGACAGAAGGACTTTTAGATGTTTGTTCTTCCGCTTTAGGAGACCCAATTGTTTGACGCATCCGTAGACATTGTCTTTCTCTGCTTCCTGTGGGTCTCCGGGGAAGTGTTTATCATAGTCAGCCCATGGATCCCATAACCGAACCTCGCCAGTTTTGGTGATGTTGGCAAAGGCGTAGAGGACGTGGGTGAGTTTGTCGACGGGAATATGCTGCGGATAGTGGTCACGGTATATGGCCTACACTTTCATGTTAAAGAGGTCTTCTGTGCTAGTTCGATAGGAAATCAGTGGAAGGGGAAAAGCTAATGCTAACCCAGCTTGCAAAGTAGGCCATGGATACATATCCGTTCTCAGGCTCAGAACGACTAGGAGTATGATGTTTATCGTTTGAATGCGGGATGAGGGCAGCACTGGTGAGGCATGCAAGGCCCCCGAGGAGGAGGAAGAAAGTTCTCATAGTGAAGAATGATGCCAGCCAATATCCAAGTATATGTGCTCGAGGAGACTAGCCTGAAGGTGTTGTTGATAAGGAATCCATGCTCCACTTATAGTCCTATGCTGCATGTCTGGTACCTGTACAATGAACTTCGGCAGTTTGTCTAATACTGTGGGGACAAACAAAGGATGATATACTTGGACGGCTCCTATAAAGACACATACCCCTGCTTTCTTTGTCAAGAGGCAGGATACTTGTGGATTATATTGCTTTGTACGGGATTGTGTTCAATGGATGCTTTATTCGGCAAGGCTTTCAGGATACGTTTCCAAGTCTGGTGATAGGAGACCCTTGAATGTGTCAAAAAAAGAGGGTGTTTTGTTCAATGCGCCTTTTATGAAGACGCCGTAAAAGGAAGAGGGGCGTGACCTGGGAAGAGCGTGATGCCTGTGATTTCAGGCTAGTCGAACTACATTTAGTATGGAGTCGGGTTTTCATCAAGTTGGTCTATATTGAAACTAAATTATTCTAAATTAAATTAGGCTCGGTGCGAAAGACCCCAAACATGATTTCAGACCCTGGAGATAACCGGATCTCTCGATCCAAAACGCCCTTATGCGCTATTGCTATGCGAATTTCATACAACAAAACAATCCGGGTATATTCAGACAAAACATATCTTCTCAACGCCATGGAACACAGAACTTTTAGATCTCGTGAAACCCCCTGCATTCGCTGCTGAATGCGGGAAGACTTTTAACAAGCAGCCCCGACACCTCCAGCATTAACCCTGGGGACACGGGCAGTAGACATCAAATCGATCGAACGATCAGGAGGCAGAATTGGACCTTGATTCTCCGAGTACTCCGGTGGCGCCACCTCGACCACTGTCGGGGGTGCGACGCTGCGGGGGCTGAAGAATTCTGCATTAACTTCATGCTGGGTGATCTCATGTTCAGGACCCTTTGTCTTTGCATCGGACCGAGACCGGCTTGTGAGTTGGATGGGGATCTTTAGCGTTGCCGTTGGGGTCAGGATATTGGCGTTTGGCGTATGGTAAGAGATGCTGAGCTCGAGGCAATATATACGAGAGATCAGACACGAGTGGAAGGTCGGGACGAATGCTCTCGTCTTGGGAAGAGTGATGGGCACGACAACTGATGCGGTATAGTAGGTGTCTCCGGTAAAAGACGCCGATGGACCGGTTAATGACTCCGAGGATGATGTTGACTCCATCGAGTCGCAGCGACTGAGTCCCCGGGGGTTGGTATGCTTCGTCCAGTGTGCCGACGCCACGCACATGGTAGAAAGGGGGACGGTCTCGGTGTAACATCCTTGACCTATCTGTGCCCAGGGCACATTTCGGGGGGAAGGGTAATCACCCCAGGGTTCTGCACTGAACAGACTGGACGCTCGGAGCTTACTCCAGATCGTGCCCAGGCGAGGAGGTTCCTCCTTGCCCACGGGATCAAATCGTAGGTGCACTGTCGCAGCGGTACTGACCGAATCAGTGGCCTCACTGTTAGGCGGACACAGTTGCACAGGCTTGGGTTGTGACGAGGCGACAACCAGTCGGCCCAGCTTGCCTCTCATGAAACCGCGCTTGACATCTTTCTCCTTCCGAATGCAGTAGCTGTCGTCGTCCGTGATGTTCAAAGGGGGCTCTTCATCGACGGCCGGAATGATCCGCACCTTCTTTCCTACCGAAGCCAAGGCCTTGGACGGGGCATTCTCTGGCTTGCGTTGCACGCTAACCCGGATCAAATATGATATCCGGCACATATCGGGGGCTAGGTCATTCAAGAGCGACTTGCCATCATTGGCCAACATGGGATCCGCGAGAGAAGGTGGGAGCAGGGTGTGAGAGCGTTCAACATGGGCGTTCGTCTTTGTGTGGCTACATACATGTGGCAGCAGACGATCGGGTACGACAAATGTGAACGGAAACTTGTAAGTGCGGCCGGCCTCCAGCACACGGGGCATAGGATAGGCAGATTCCTCAATCGGTTGACGAAGTCGGAGGAATGTCTGGTAAGCGCCTGTACGTCCTGGCATCGCTACACGCTCCACGGAAGTTCTCGATGTCCCTGTAGATATGAGTAAAGGCTCCCTGCGGCTTTGAGTGATCTGTCTTGTCTGGGGCTTCCTTACCCTCGAAGGTGATTTCAACCTCATCAAAACGAGTATCACGGTCTACCGTTATCACTGCCGTCCCCTCAATACGATCCTTGGTGGTATATGAACTGACAAGCCCTTCGGTCTGTCCGGAGAGCTCGATGTCGACCTTCGGACGCGACTGCGTCAAGGACTCCAACGTGCTGGAGCTACGAGTGACAAATGAGGTCATTGCGGCTGTACTTCACAATGCAAGGGATAATACAGAGAGAAATGCTCCAGGATATCGTGGAGAGCGCGTCATGCGCAGCACCCCAGACTGATAGTGAAGAGGAGAGATGATTACTGAGCAGAAGGAATTGGGTTGCAGCGAGGAGAGAAAGAAGAATATAAAAAGAAACGAAGGGAGACGCCAGCTGCAAGAGAAAGATTCTAAATTGAATGTAGGGATGGGGTGATGGTTGTCGTTGGGTAATAGTAATGGCGAGCTGTGGAGATAGTTTGATGTATACTTGCAGCACGCTATGACAACGACGGATATCCTGTTGAAAGACCCCCGGCGATTCAATATTAAATATTAAATACCTAGCTCATATCCCCCTTCTACGTATTTCTAATCGGGCATGTCAATCCACAGGGCGCAAAATGAGTCACGTATTGAGCAAAGAAAGAGAGAAGCCATTGATCGGTCATCCTCAGCACGTGTTGACGATAATCCACTTGTTGGACAAAAGGGTCAAAAAAAGGGAATAAAATAATTAAAAAAATAAAAAATAAAAAATAAAAAATAAAAAATAAAAAATTAAGGCCGAACCAACAAACTCACACACCGACCACATGAATGAATGGATATTTTCATAGTTCGTCTCCATAGTTAACACGAATATCGGCCGAGATCCACTTTTCTAGCGATTGGTCCAACTCCCGATGATCCTTTGCGCCCTTCCGTGACATTCAGTGCATTCAACTCCAATCCCGGATAATATCAATCCTTAAGCGATGTCGACCTCACGCCCTGTGTCATATTCGTCATGAACTTTACTCCGGAGTCAGAAGATGTTTCCCCCCGTGGGACACGAAGACTTTGGGGAAGAAAAGTAATAGTCAGCAACCTGACAAATATGTAGTGACGATCATCAGACCAATAGTTTGGCATAACCCTAACTAGAGAATACCCTTTAATGGGACTTCAGACTCCTTACTCTCCAGCATTCCAACCAGGTCCCAATCGCGTGATGATCGTAGATCTCACACCATACTGAGTAGGTCTTCTGATGGTCTCTTGCCCCCATAAACTATTCGTCAATCATTGCCCATAGTCGACGAGTTGTCTTGCGTGCTTTACGGGTTCCCAACCTTGAGACATGTGTGACCAAGGCAAAAAAAGACATCAACAGCTTGGAAGACCATCGTTGATAATCAAAGTCCTCGTATACTAGTCGTTCCGAGTACCGAGAAGACCGAGCTAAAGAGTCCAGCCCGTGGAATGAAGCGAATAAGAACGTTTACCCGCTCCAAGTAACTTCCTGTTGTCGCAAGTTGGCCGTTTAGCTCTGCGCCTTACAGCTTCGGCTTGAGATCCACTCTTTCCTTCGTCCAAGATTCTTCGCCAAGGGATCTATCGCCTTAATTTATCCCATTGGCCGTCCATGCGTTTTCTTGGTCTCGATGCTGTCATACTTCAATTATTAATCCTGGCCAGCTGCAACAACTGAACTCAAAAAAGAATCTGAATCTTGAATTCCTCTCCTCCCCATGAAGAAGAACAGTCGAATCCCCATCGATTCTACTGACTTCAATTCCTGCTATATATCCCTCATTATCATTAGTCACTCCACCATCAGAAACCAGGAACGAAGGTACGCTATTTCACAGTCTCCAGCCGTTTTTTCCACGGGTCCGCGTCTAGCCGTGGCTAAGCGACGTCCATGAGCCGACCGATACGGTATGCCGACGGGAAACTAACAAAACTTGATAGTATCTTAAGTGATACGATATAATAATGGTTTCTAGCGCTCGATGCCGCCATCTGTGAAAAATTTTCTTCTCTTACCCTGGCACGGTCCCATTGCCCCCTTCTTGGCAGCCATGATGGAGAAGTCTCGGTCGGAAGCTGGGCCAGTTAGTCGCCAGAAGAACGTAGAACCAAACCATACAATTGACCTCTCGTTATGTCCTTAGCACTGACAGCTGATCTTTAGGATAACATTGTAGAAGGAATAGGTTTAAACCAAATAGAGCCTGAAAGTTCTCATACAAACTTAGCTGAGGATAATAAAAACAGCTCTATAAACTCTAAAATATGATTCCCCTGCAGATCATAAGAAGCTCCAGAAGCTACAGGCGGTTATTCCAGGCACTCCTGGCACTCGGGCCACCTCAGACTTACAGCTGCGAAATTGTCTCAAGATCAGCGGGGTTTTGCACAAAAAGAGCATGTGCTATGTCCGTAGTCTCTATTCGATGCTCGAGGCGCTTCTGCACCACACCAACAAGGTAGTGTAGATGCTGTCCATCATAAACGAGCGTAGTGGCATGTGTTACCACTGATTGAAAACGCAACCACATGAATCCGAAATATGACATCCTGGTAACTCTCAACTGGAACTATAGTGTAGTAAAGCAGGAAATTTCTCCTTGCAAACTCAGGATTGCTTTAGAGAACCGGAAACCTGCCGTCTGCTTGTACTGATGCGCGTGCTTCGAAGAAGCTTCAGGCCTAAGACTTACCATTAAGGACAGTAGTGGTACTTGCCGTTGTAAAGAGACGAATCTACCTGTAGTTACCACAACAAAGCAATACTCTTTGGCTAAATCCCCTGCGTCGAGGCTAGCTTGTCGAACATATTGTAGATTCCAGAACACCGAGCGAACGGCCATGCCAGCAAGAGGCCATTTTTCTCATAATGTTTGTCGTGATACATGGAATCCCAGGTGACAACCAGCATTAAGAGGCAATAGATACGTTTATATCAGGCATTCTGGACCACACTGGACATACGGGATGCTGGGGCGTAATCTGTTTTTATAAGAGATATATGTAGACATTGAACATTGTATATAGAACGGTTTTTATCACCACGGAGGCACAATCACGGTGCAGGAGGATAATGACTTCGATTAGAGCTAAATGCTAAACTACGAGAGATCATACAAGAAAAAGTGTCCCGACGGATAAATTACGATTCATATCCGTGGCATGCAGATAAAACCGTACTCAAAGATCGTCGAGGGCGTCAGCCTCTTTCTTGTCTCATACAGGATGAACTCTGAGAGTCCATGCTGCATCCAGCTCAAGATCAACCGAGTGAAGCAGAGGATCGAGCGAGGCAAGAGACGTCAATATGCAGATCCATACGATACTGCGTTTTCCCTATTTCTATTGGTAAAGTTGAAAACGGAAGGCACCAGTTTTACTGAAGAAGCTGTACATGATGATATCGATTATCGGGTATCTAAGAACCCCGGTGCAGTAAAAAGAAGTCGCTAGACGCCGTGTCCGCTAAAATCAGTACGCCACTCTCGTCCGCATATCCTATACAAGAGTTAGTTGATGGCTCATACAGTTTGGTACTGGGCAAAACATACCGAAATCTTCCGTTCAATTTCTCGCACTGAACGGTCAAGTTCCCCAGCAATCATCATCTTCGTGTCATTAGGTAATAAGAAATACGTCTCACATAAGTCACCGTCAATGACGCCCTTGACAGGTGCATAGTAACTCCGGTAAATGAGGTGGTCCCGTCCAGCAAGAGGAGGGTTTTGTGCTGCCAATTGCATCTCCAGGTTTTGGAAGAAGTCGACGTCCTCTCGGCTGACAAAAGGCACAAGCATTCCAATAGTACCATGGAATCCGGACCAGACAAGAATGTCCCGCCCACCGGCTACAAGCTGTGTCTTGTGCAAGGTGGTCGGGATGTCCTGGGTGTAAACATGGATCATCAGCTCCAGACGATTGGGCGTACCATGGAGATAACCACGTTCATGGATCAAGTGCGCGCCCGATCCATCCTCATCAGCTTGTTCGGATATTTTCTTGGGACACCGCAGCATCCAGATATTACCAAATTTGTCACCTCCAGCAGTGGTTTCATAGTCCACCATCGTCGTAGAGGTCGTCCAGCGTGAGACAGAATCGTCCACAAACGGGATCAAAACGTTTTCCTGATACTTGTATACAACATACGTAACACTCTCACGAACGTCACTCACGACGATTCTGCTGCCTTGCGTCTGGAGGCCCACGATCGTCTTGGGAACCACTTGGGCATTACATTTCCTGAGGAGTTGTTTCATTCCCAAGTCATAGATCCGAAGCATCGAGCCAATACCAGCAACCAGTCGGCCTTGGAAGCCAAGAAGAGCGAGTGGAGGTTCTTCGACCTTCGTCTTATGGATGAACTCAAGCTCTCTTCCATCTTCTTGGAACCTGTAGATATGGATGTATCCTCCGGCAGACGATGGAGGGTTGACAGTCATGTCTTTCGCTGTTCCTACAACAAGGAAGGTCTCATCATCCTGACTAGTGAAGGGAACAGCTGCAACACTGACAGCAGCCTCATTTTCCTCAAGTTCAATTGTCGAGACAACAGCTTTGGCGTGTACTGGGTCGACAACCTGAATACACGAGGCCCAGTGACCAGAGCCCCGTGGATATCCAAATTCTTCGGGAGGTAGCACGGTTTCATCGCCTGTACGTGCCTTGGAATCTTCGATTAGTTTCGCCCTAGTTGATGGCGACAAAACATTGTTGTCTGATTCAATGACATAAAAAAGTGGTTGCTCAGGGTGTTTCAAGAAACGGCGGGGGGTGTAAGCGAGAGAAATCGACTGTTGCAGCATGTTGTTGTCAAGCTTTTCGATGGAGAAAATCCTATCCACATCAGTTAGCAAATGTAGCTAATCGCAGGCAGGAGCTGACGTGTAATTTTCAGAATAACTTTGATCTCAGTAGGAACAATTGGAAATAAAATAATGATAAGCTTCCACATGGGTTTTCGGGTCCCATATTCTCATCATTCGATCAGGGTAAATGGAGGAAAAGAAACAGGGAATGCATCATACCTAAGGTTTTGGCCTTGAATGCCGACCATGCCTTCCAGACACTGTTCACTCGAGAAGTTCCAACCCCATTCAAGTGGGACGTAATCCAAAGGAGTAAGCATGAAGCCCTTTGTCTGAATGTCTGAATAGCCCAGCCAAGGACGTGAGCTCAAAGCCAGAACAGCAGTTTGCCCTTTAACGGAAACCTGGAATAGCTTGACGGGCTTCGAGCCCAGAAAACGCGTACGCGTATCAGACAGTTCGCCGGTCACCTCATCCAGTACTGTTCGAAGGTAGACACCAGAGTACAGACCAATGTGAAGATACAGTGTCGTCCCACCAGAACTGGAATCAGACATAGACATGATGTTCAATGCAGACGGGGCTGCAGTGAGGGCCTGGACAGACTTGTTTTCCAGGGTGGAATCCGGATCCAAGCTCAAAATGCGGACTGTGGAGTCATCACATCCCACAGCTAAGAACGAGCTCCGAACACGACCTTCAGGAACCTCTCCGAGACTGAGACATGTCACTGTGCCAGACATCTGGCGCCGTTCGTCGTATTCAGCAAGGGTCCCATCAGAATCCATCTCAAAGTACACGATCTCTCCTGAGCTCAGTGCCACCGCAACTTGACGCTCATTCGTTGCGGCTGCAACGATGGACCGATGTTGAGGTGCAGGCCACTCATTCACTCGACGGTCGACCATAATATGACGAATACCCCGGGGGTGGATTTGGATCAAAGAATCCTCCCCAAGCTGTTGGACGGCGAGAGTAGGGGCAGATGACAGAAAGCCAGTATCAGTCACCTCCTCCACGGTTTCACCGATACTGAGAACAAGAGTGCCATTTGCAAAGGAAAGGACGATGTAGGCATCAAACTCATCGGCGCGAGTCAATTTGGTAGTCCAAACAGCCGAAGGCACACTGGGGAGTTCCGAGTCGACAATTTCAGAGACCTCTAAGCCGTGCTTGAGCGTCCTAAACGTGCTACGAGCACCAGTTCCAGAGATAGTGTAGATCTGGGGAGCATCTTCTTCGGAGAGGTTGGCAATCTTACTATCAATCAATGGATTTAAGGAATTGATAGTCTCAACGAGATTGAGATTTTCTGCGCTTCGAGGTCGGAAATATACGGGCTCAAGTGGGACAGAAGGATCTGCAGAGGAGTTTTCACTGCTGAATTCGATCTCCTCGTCATCATCACCGAGCTTCTCGAATTGGTAGAAGTGGTGATTTCCTGCCTCACTGGCAACATACAGGAAACCACTCTTGAGAATCAGCAAGTTCGACGCGACAGGAACCGTGTCGAAGTATTTAATCTTCAGTCTTCTCACTTCGCCAGTCAATTGGCCATTGTCGTCTTCAACCATGTCAATAGTGAGCTTGAAGAGGTCCCCGTCTTCAGTCTGGAGGAGAAAGAAGAAGGCGCCCCTCATCTTGTGCATCACGCCGGCCGTGACGAACCGTTTACGTTCGGGATTCTCTGTTGGGCCACTACGCCTAGGGATTGGTACCCTGAAGGCATCTTGGTTGGAGTGTCGGTAGGTGACGCTGTCCTCAGCACATACCAGGACTCCGCTCGGGCCATCAGCGCCTCCGGGGACCTGGAAAAGCATCGAGGATGTGCGATCGACAGGGTCCGCCCATTTACGCACGACGTGGTTCAGTCCAAGGTCCAATTCGTAGTATACCAGAAGCTTCTCGGCTTCTTCGAACGCTTGGCCCGTAGGATCCTGGTCAGACTCCGAGTAGTCCACCTCAAGCGCCGCGAAAATCGGGTTTTCATACCCTACATCCAATGCTGACATCGCAAAGACCAGTGTCTGTGGCTTATGTGCTTCGAGCGGTGATGAGATCGTCAACTCGGCCTGCGAGTTCCGATTCAGAACGTAAACAAGCTTGTTCTTCTCCACAGATGCAATGAGACAAGCTCTGCCTTTCGGATCAACCGCCAGATATTGGCCGGGGATCACACGACGGACACCGGATTTGCCAAACGTCTCCAGGTGAATGCGGTTGAACCGATTCTGGGAGGGCACATACTCAATGATAGTGATGCGTCCCGAATCAGAACCAATGATGATGTAATCTAGATGCACCTTTCAGCAAAAGTCAAGGACTAGCACCCAGCGTCAACGTCGCTGACCGGGGCACGTCCCACGTCCAAGGTGGTCGGCTCGGCAGTTAAGGATCGTGCTGCCCGGAAGCTTGAAGAATCACTAAGATGATCTCGGAATCACACCATGGGGAATGTCGAACATACCTTTATTACTTCCAGCTAGTCGGAAAGCAGCCAGAGAGCGAATGATGCCGAAGACATCTTGGGAAAAGAGTGGGGTGACTTTGCCCTGGGTAGGATCGGGTCGATGGATAGTGAGCTTTGACCCCGACGCGGTGACAATCTGCTGTTCCTTGGTACCCGCAAACTGACCCAGGATGGCCTGTGTAACGGCAGTAGGCGGCTGGATTGTCAGGGAGTACATGAACATATGCGAGGTGGTAGCCATGGTGGGCAGCTAGGCTCCTTCCAAGCCTGGAGCAGACAGAAGATGTTGTGTGTTTTGTTTACTGCAGAATTGCAACCAAAGTTGACTTTAACGTGATACCATTCCCATTGCTGCAGATACAGAGCTTGAGGAAGAGGACTCTCGAGAACGAGTGTCCTCGCAATGGGTTTGCGTGGGAGTCTTGAGAGCAAGACGCGACAGTTCACCCGATTGTGTCCTGAGGAGAAAGTGAAAATTCCGGTGGGAAGAGAATGAAGCTACTCTAGTTTGACCTGTTTGTTAGTATCACGTGTGTTGTATTGGTAATACGTCGAAAGTCATTTATTCAAGCCAATTACCCGAATGATCGTGGTATGTGAATTACCTACAGCGCAACATGTTTATCCCGCTTTCCGAAAAGGCGGACGATGGGTTTCTGCCACCTTCTACCTTTCCGTTCCGACTGACGCTATCAGTAGGTATTGGTTGTGCCGAGAAGTGGCATTGTTCACTACTACTTACTGCCGCTATTCCACTGCTCACTTACTTTTTACCTCATCCCCATCTTACATCCTCTTATTCTCCGACAAACTAATTGAATATATATCACCATCCTTCGCTTCTCTGGACGGTGGTTCTGTGAAGACCTTTGATTTAAGCCCCTCCCTCCCCTCGGTCCACTCGCCGAAACTACGTTCTAATGGCTGATGACACCGCTACGGCGGAGGACTCTCCCGTCACCTTCAATATCAAGTCCTCGAATGATGCAAAATTCACCATCACTCTTCCATTGTCTGCGCTAGTGTCAGAGTTGAAAGAAAAGCTTGCGACGTCGGAATATGCGGATACTCCAGCGGAGCGTCAGCGCTTAATCTACTCGGGAAGAGTGTTGAAAGATAATGAAACCCTGGCTACATACAAGATCAAAGATGGACACACCATCCACCTGGTAAAGAGTGCTGTTAGCAATCAGCGTCAGGCCGGCACCTCTCAGACTGCCTCGGCCTCCACGCCGTCAGGCACCTCTGCTACTCCAGCCACTGGCGTCCCCACAAATCTTGCGGCCGGCACAGGCAACAACCCACTAGCCGGTTTGACCGGCGCACGATATGCTGGTTTTGCGCAACTTCCAGGAGCCGGAATGTTTGGCCCAGATGGTGGCGTAAGTGACCAACGAAGTAAAGTTTAACCCATTGAATGGTGCTAATCATGATGTTTAGATGGGACCCCCTCCTGATGCCGACTCTATGCTCCATATGCTCGAAAACCCACAATTCCAGTCTACTATCAATGAAGCTTTACAAAACCCAGCGATGATTGATATGATGATTCAACAAAACCCCATGTTGCGCGAAATGGGTCCCGGCGTGCGGCAAATGATGCAGAGCCCTGAATTCCGCCGTATGCTCACCGATCCCAATTCGCTTCGCCAGGCGATGCAACTTCAGAGAGCCATGGGTGGCGGCGGTGGGCTTGGTGGCGGTAGCGCATTTCCTGCTCCTGGGGTCACAAACACAACACCAGAGGAAAGCCAAACCGGCCAAAATAACAACGGCGCTACTCCTGCCTCTGGCGCACCCGCGTTCAACCCATTTATGCCTCCGGGCCTTGGAGCTGGTAACCCTTTTGCTGCCCTTTTCGGAGGTAATCCAGCAATGGGTGGCGCAAACCCGCCCAGTGCATCAACTGCGACGGGTACCGGTCAGACTGAGACTGCACAGAGGGCCGCTGGAGATGCTGCTGGGGGAGATGCTACCACCGGAGAGGGTCAAAATCAACAAAACGCTCAGAATCCTTTCGGGCTCCTTTTCAACCCCGCCATGCTCGGGGCACAAGGCGGTCAGGTTAACCCTTTCAATCCCCAACAAAATCCCTTCCTTCGCGATCCCGCTCTACTATCGCAGATGATGCAGGCAATGGGTGCACCACCAGGAGAGGCTGGCGCAGGTGGACTTGGCGCCAATCCCTTGGCGGCGCTTCTCGGAGGCGGCGGATTTGGGACACCCCCTCCACAGGACAACCGGCCACCTGAAGAACGGTATGCGGAACAGCTTCGCCAGCTCAATGATATGGGCTTCTATGAGTTTGAGAGGAATATCGAAGCGCTGCGACGAGCAGGTGGTAGTGTACAAGGCGCAGTGGAATATCTGTTGAGCCATCCTTCTTGAGTTCTCCTACCGATCTGTAATGGCGTGTTGGCCAAATGGCCTTCTTTCGTGGAGCGATTGTTTTCATTGACGGCTTCTAATTTATGACTACCCTGGCTGCATACTCTTTCGGATATGATATAGGGGATGCTTGGAAGGCTTTCGTGTAGGGAATGTCTCATGACTTAGCAGAAAGGGCGTTAGTATAGCAGAACTTCATGTTTTTTGATGTTATGATAGTATATTAACAGGGGTGTCTCGTATACTGGCATCTCTTTGTCGGGCGTCTTCCCGGTCACGGTTTAGGGTGACTTTCGGCGATAAATAGCTATGAAGAATGTAACTTGTTCCACGAAGGGCCCTGTCCTGTAGGTGAATCCCGGTGGTATGAGGGACAGTCGTCATGATGTGGAGTCAACACGACCTGAATTGTCGCATTCAGATGGGCGGCGGTGAGATTATCGTTTTGGGAATGGACGCTAAACCTATTGTGGGCAGAATCGGCCGGACTGTTCGATGCCACTGGATTGATGGGTCCCCGTTCTGAATCTCCCCTGCAATCGACGACTACTTTAACTACTACTAATTGCTGCTATCCTGTCCACATCCACCCCTGACACCTCCCCCTCCCTCGTCCTTAAATTATTATCTATCTGCTTCTATTCGATAGGCATTTTATGCCGATTACACTCGTTACATCAACTCGAACTGCTATATTTCGGACTTTTCATTCTCCGTCGCATTCTGGACCGCCGGTTCCTCCAGACAGCATACATACGCCTCATATTGTTTTACAGTAGCCTTTGCCCTGCGCTTGTTCATCCTTTTTGACATATTACTTTCAATATCGCGCATAAAATTTACTATTTACGTCCTTTCTTTTCCCTCTCTTTAGGTGGCCTGTTTAATGGGGACGGTCTAGCGCAACTTAAGTTGGGGTTAACTAAGTTATTGATCTACGTTTGAGATTCACGCACCCGCCACGTACATCCCAATCGTCGGTGCATGCTTCCTTGATAGCTTGTATTCTCTCAACAAGTGAGGGTTAGCCTCCATTTTCCCACCACCTCGATAATGGAGCTGCAACGCTTGTGGTGCCCTCGTCGGTGGGCTTTGTGGTTGTTATTCGCCTCATACCCTTGCGCATTCTACATACCTGGTACGCTTGGACCAGCCTGCTAGGCCCATCAGACCCTCCAACTGACACGTCTATGTTTGTGAAATAGGCTATTCAGTCAAACGTTATACCGATGACGAGTCTATTCCCCTTCTTGTGAACAAAATCTTTTCCGACTATACGCAGCTTCAGTACGCCTACTATGACCTGCCTTTCGTCTGCCCCCCGAGCGGGAAAACGCACGGCGGCTCGCCCTTCGGCTCGGGGCATAGCGTTTCGCTTAACTTGGGAGAAATTCTACGTGGTGACCGGATAATGACGTCTGACTTTGAACTGCAGATGGGAAAGAATGTGGAATGTCAAGCCCTCTGCACTGCGGAAGTAGGGCGCAAAGACGTCAAGTGGGCTCGTCAGCTTATCAACGAAGGCTATGTAGCAGAATGGATCGTGGACAACTTGCCTGGAGCGACTAGCTTTGTCACCGTCGACCGTAGTCGCAAGTACTACGCAACTGGGTTCAAGCTTGGATCTCGGGAATTCTCACCCATCGACGGAAAACCACACTACTATATCAATAACCATTTCACCATCGTGATCCGCTGGCGGTCGGCACCCGAAGGTGGCAAGTTAATTGTTGGCTTCGAGATTTATCCAAAGAGTATTCGCGCCGAGGATCATGTGGAGAACGGTTGCCCTAAACAAGTACATGAGCATCACGACGGTCTGGAACTATACATCCCTCCAAACACATCAAAACTCCGTGAGATGTATCCTGGTTCCTCATACATCCCAGAGGACGACGGGGTTGACGACGGAACTACACTCAAAGTTCCGTACACATACTCAATTTATTTCAAGGAGGACAACAGCATTGACTGGTCTAGTCGATGGGACCTCTATTTTAGCAACCAAGACGACAGCTCTATGACGCACTGGTTTGCGATTCTCAATTCTTTGACTATAGCTGGCGTTCTTGGAGTGGCTGTATATGTCATCTGGGGACGAACGGTGCAAGGAGATATCAAAGGTCGAGGGGACGGAGCAATGGATGAGGCTAAACTGAAGGCTCGAAGCGTAGCCAAAGTAAAGACTCTTGAAAGAAAAGGGGACGGCCTCTTGGACCAAGGATCGGATCTAGAACGGGATGCAGACTTGTCATCCGACGACGAGGGTCTCGAAGATGTCAGCGGTTGGAAACTACTTCATGGGGACGTTTTCCGAGTGCCGGAGTACAGCGGCCTACTTGCACCGCTTGTTGGCTCTGGTATGCAACTATTGTTTATGACCTCGGGACTTCTTCTACTCAGTTGCCTTGGTATCTTAAACCCCAGCTTCCGTGGCGGATTTGTTAGTGTTGGCATGGGGTTGTTTGTATTTGCCGGCCTCTTCTCCGGCTACTTCTCGGCAAGGTTGTACAAAACATTTGGCGGCACTAAATGGAGGAAGAACACGGTAGTTGTAAGTCTATCTCGGCCGGATTTCTTCTTTCTCTGAACCTTGTGACCTGGACATTACTAATGACAGTAGACCGCTCTCTTCATCCCTGGCCTGACCTTCTGCCTGATATTCATCCTGAACCTCTTTGTTTGGGCACAGGCGTCCAGCACCGCAATCCCGTTTGGCACATTGATCGGTCTTCTTGCGCTCTGGCTGCTGATTCAGGTTCCTTTGGTTTATATTGGTAGCTGGTACGGTTACGTACGAACAACGGCGTGGGAGCACCCAACCAAGACCATGTCAATCGCTCGACAAATTCCGCCACAACCCTGGTACTTGCACAACACTTACGGGCCCGTTTTGACAGGGCTGGCACCGTTTGCTGTTCTATTCATTGAGCTTCTATTCGTGTTCAAGAATTTGTGGCAGGACAAGAGTGGGTATTATTACGTGTTTGGCTTTTTGAGCGCCGTCTCGACTATCCTGATGGTCACGGTGAGTCAAGTGACCATCATCGCAACCTACAGTCAACTTTGCTCCGAGGTATGCTATATCCATTATCGGTAAAGGATCGCGAAGCTGACTGAAGCAGAATTACCACTGGTGGTGGCAGAGCTTCCTGACCGGCGCAAGCAGCGCATTCTGGATATTTGCCTATTGCATTTGGTACTACTTCTTCCACCTTCATATCACCGGCTTCATTTCTAGTCTGCTCTTTTTCAGCTACAGCTTTCTGGCATGTGCGGTATACGGTTTGTTGACGGGGACCGTTGGGTTCTTGACGGCCTACGCGTTTGTCCGACGTATTTACAGGTAAGCGGTTGCTGGTGGTGTGGTGAATATTAGATGTTGGAGCTAATCATAGCACAGCGGCGTCAAAGTTGATTGATCAATTTCGAGCGCATATCTGACATCAATGTCAACTTTTTGCCCAGGCGGGCTTATGTGAAACGGCATTTGGGACAAACATTCCCCATTCATTTCCTTTGCCATCTTTTGGCTCTACTTTCAAGATATCCACCTTCCCTCTCCATATGAAATAGGCTACCGTACTCTTAGTGGCTCGTCATGTCATTTGGACCGTGGCCTTTCTGTACTTTATATATATATATATACCGTCCATTAGCGAGCTCAATCGACCATTCTCAGTCTTAACGCACTGATCTCAATTTCGCTACCCACAGAGTAGCTTGGTCAATTCTCGTATTTCAATCACATCTCATGGATCAAGTTACCCAAACCAGCCGTAGCCTAAAGACTCAATAGCACACCTAGTGGCTGATCCTCCACAAGATACCAGTCTACAATAAAGAAAACACACCTTCGGGACCCCGGCTAGGAAACACCCAACCCATCATAGCGCAAAACCACCAGATCGACACGGGCTCGACTCTCTCTTCCCCAAAACGGCATTCCCATCCAGCCTGGGCCACCAAACCCCACGAGCTTAACAGGCAGAGACAACCCCATAAATCCTCCCCAGCCGCTCCCGTCACACACACACACACACACACACACACAACAAAATACAAGTTCTCAATAGAAACCCTCCGTTACACGACCGCGTCTACCTGGTAACACGAGATGGCTACAAGCGGAGGTTCCAATCAACGGGTCCGCGTGATGTTCAAAGAAAAACGAAGATAAGTCCGTGAAGGTTTCCAAATCTTTTGGTCAGTACTTTCCCATGGATGAATGATTTCAGAACCTTTTCTGGGAAGGGGCTGTGATTGGTCAGGTCGGGGGTCATGTGGTATCTATGTATTGAGTTCTTATGACTGGTGATTTTGGTGGAGCTTGCCATTGTGTGTATCTTACTACTAGTAGTACTTGGGCTGATTATGGGGGTTTTTGTGTTCTGGGGCCCTTCTGGGCAGTGAAGTTTTGTGGGGGTTGTTGATGTAAGGGGAGGGTTTGTCTATTTGCTCCTGTCACGGGTGTATGAGATGAGGTCCAGAATACTATGTTTCAAGGCTATCCACCAGGTTACATATCAGATGCAAATGAGACACAGGTACTAAGGACGAGTAATATGACGGAGATGAAACGAGCTACCAAAACGATTGCGTCAGCTACGCAATGGAGGTGGCAGAAATCAAGTCCCGGGGAAGAAAGGCCCTGTGACTCGGTATGTCTGTTTATGTATTCGGATTAAATTACATAGACTTTGTTTCAAATGTATTACACCCGCTGGGCAGTGACCAATACCAATACTCTTTTCTTTTGACTGGATTTGTCAAGTCTAAAGCCAGGTGCATTAGGGCGTGCTTTGGTGTGACCGAAAGAATTACTAACTGTATACAAATGTATGTATGTATTGTACATACTATGTGGAGTATGAGGTATATACAAGTATGTACATAGTGGACATGTTCCGTTAATCTACAGATCTCCGACCACCGTCTCACCGATACATTATCGCAGACCAGACTACGTGGTCAATTGTGTCGGATGGAACGGACTCCGTTTCAGCCCGGCTCCCTGATGAGCGTGATCGCCCAGATAAAGGGGTCAAGGACGAGGTAAGACATAGAGTACTCCTTACTGGTCATTGGAGGAAGTTGGCATTCTCGCATCTGATAAACCAGTGTGCACAGGCAGCAACGGCACAGTCCTCGACTCCGGGAGGGTAATGAATCATCCATTCGTGGAGATGTTTCGCCCCTTGATGGCGTGATCGGAGGATAGAATGATGCGTTTTCCTCACGTCGAGGCCTCGGCATCCGCATGCGGACGGAAAGATTGAGCTTCTTTTGGCCGCGAGCCTCTCAATGAGCGAAACGGTGGTGGAATCTATGGCTCATGTTCAAACTGACATCTCGTTGAGAGTCGTAGGAATATCGTCGTCTGATAGATATATGGTACGGAATGGGCTTGATCTCCGTGAAACTCCGGAACCGTAGCAGATCCCATTAGCCAAAAGCTTATCAAGCAACTCCAGCATGGGGAAATTGCCATTCGGGTGATCTTCTAGAAAATCCTCAGTCGCACACGTAAGGACAATGGCAATCCAACGCGTCATGCACAGATCGACGAATGACAGACGGAGTGGAGATGATGCCATCGACCCGCGGAATTGGTATAACGCTAACGACGGCATCTGCAGGAAGCCTATTCCTTAGACTCCTTATTGGTCTCTGAGTTCCTAAACTAAGGTATGCAGCGTCCGGGGTAGAAGGGTCTGTGCTATAGTAAGTACATGGCATACATACGGTATTGATGAGTTGCGAAGATCAGTGCCAAGATGCATTCATTCCGCTCACCTTGGCATATTAGGGGAGAGGTAAGAGGTTCTTGATTTTCTCCATTTCAAACTTGGTCATAATAATCAGTATAGATGATACACACGTATGATAGATATAATGTAATACTTCGCCATTCAACATCTCAGTCTGCATTCTCGGCGGCAGAGTATGAGACTCGTCCAAATTCGGAGCGTTGAATCTTGATTCGGACTCGCAACGAAACGAGAAGCGGTTGCTACATTGTATGTACTCAATGCTGATCTCTCCACACCGTCTCGTCTTCCTTTTTGCACCCTGACGCCAATATACACACTTGCAGAGAAAGTCCTGCTTCACTACGAGTAGAACACGATAAGTAGCTCAAGAATACAAGCAACACTGTGAACTACTGTAGCACATGAAATTGATCGAAGAAGTCTTCGACGTGACAATACCAGTAATTGGGATCATGTAACCCAGAATGTACCACATTTCAATATAAACTGCCAAGTCTGCCACTAGAAATGAAAGGGCTGGAAAAAAAAAAAAAAAAAAAAGACACCTCAGTGATCTACATTGGAAGTACTAGTGTCTCCTGGCCCGATTGAAAGTAAGGATCATAGAGCCGCCTGAACCAGGCCATACAAGAATGTGTGACAGCATTATGATGCGTGTGCCATGTAAATATCATTGGGTGCCTGGTCGATCCTGGGGAACCGATACATTATCCTGCTAAGCATTGCAAAATATGAAGCCTGTGGATACTGTTGAATGGTAGGAAGTGTATTCGTATGTAAGGATGAAATTGAGCCCAAAAATTGGCACTGGAATTAGGTTACGGGCGCGCATTAGTCTGCTGGTCAAAGGCGACATAATATTCACCGCAACCTGAGGTTCCGCCGCGCCGAGAAATGTTGTCTTGAGAGGATGGCACATGACCCCTGACCCGAAAGAGAAGAAGCGATGGATATGGAAGCTTCAGCCGTATCGAGTTAGAATGACACATGAATTCCTTTTCCTGTTCATTGTTGAAACCTTTTCCCAACAAAAGCCGGTATGCGCTTGTAACTTTCACGGATCAGCCCGTTTTCTTACAAGGGCCTTAGTCTGTGGCACTAGAACCTGTTTAAGGAGCGACCCAATGAAGTCTCGTGGCGAACCAGCTGACGCGCCTAGTTTAGCGAGTCAGCCTGTGATGTGCCGGGGATCCTTGTCGGAACCGGCCGGGGTGACGTTGAGAAGCCAATGAGAAGCTGCCGTTGTGCCAAGCGTGCCAAGATCTTGGGGAGTCCGGACTAGTGAGAAGGGGGTTTGAGACCCCAGGCCCACTTCGGTTAGTAGCCTGACTAGTTTACCCGTCCTAAACGAACTTCCACTCGACTACTTCAACTTCGAAGAAGCGCGCACAGAACATGACCCAACCCTGACGACACTTCGTACAGGCATTCTCAAATACGTTATCTATGAGGGCGGGGATGGTCAACAGATGAAGCAGAACGGAGATTGCAAAATGAGATAGACCCTGCGGACTCCGACAACCCGCCGAGAGCTTTCGTGGCGATCTGACCGATCCTTTGGTACTTGCCGGACCGCATTTCTCTGCCGGGAAATTACATCCTTCCGCGGCCCTAGTAATCGGCATCTTGTCACAAGGCGCTCGTCCGTTCGTCAACATGTTCCTAAAGAGTATGTACTACAGAGTACTCCATACTGGGCAAGACAATGCGATCTTGGATACTCTCAATCCTCCACCGCGCGTAGTCCTCCAGTGGAATAGAACACGACCAATTTCCTTTACTTGAATCATTGGCCCAAAGTTTATTGCCCCTGCGTTCCAGCTCGTGGGGAATCACACCATCGTCTCCGCTAATGGTTCCATCGCTGCGGTGACATCGATTGTACCACACTTGTTGTAGATCTCCGTCGCTCCTCAATACGTTCATTCATACTCCGTACATCAAGTAATTTTGATTCGGGTACATGTATGTTCTGCAATTTAATCTAATTTTTTTTTTCTTTTCTCTTATCTTCTTTTTTTTTTTTTTTTTTTTTTTTTTTTTCACCCTGAAAACAATATCCGCTCCCCCTTAAGGTTACTTATAACTTGTCTTTCCCTTCTCCGGCGTTCATTCTTTTCCTTTCCTTTCCTTCTTTATCCGTCCCACTGCTTTTCTTATTCCGGCCACCAACTCTTTGGCATAGTTTCTTATCATTAGATTAGAGTGTGAGAGAGGTCTCACCAATCATCACTATGGCTACCAAGAAGCCCAACATTCTCTACATCATGGCTGACCAGATGGCTGCTCCCCTTCTGGCCTTCCATGACAAGAACTCTCCCATTAAGACCCCTAACCTAAACCGGCTGGCGGATGAGGGTGTCGTCTTCGACTCGGCCTACTGTAACTCTCCGCTATGTGCCCCGTCACGTTTCGTTATGGTGACCGGCCAATTGCCCTCCAAGATCGGAGCCTACGATAACGCCGCCGACTTACCCGCTGACATCCCCACTTATGCCCATTATCTGCGCCGTGAGGGCTACCACACCGCACTGGCGGGAAAGATGCATTTCTGTGGCCCCGACCAACTGCACGGTTATGAGCAGCGTTTGACGAGTGACATCTACCCCGGTGACTATGGCTGGTCGGTCAACTGGGATGAGCCAGTAAGTTGCATTCCTAGTAGTTCGAATCCAAGGCAAGGGATCTCTGATCGTGTGTAGGAAATTCGTCTCGACTATTATCACAACATGTCCTCTGTCATGGAGGCCGGTCCTGTGGTGCGGACCAACCAGCTTGACTTCGATGAGGAAGTTATCTACAAATCTACCCAGTATCTCTACAACCATGTCCGCCAGCGCGGTGATCAGCCATTCTGTCTGACGGTGTCTATGACTCACCCTCATGACCCTTATGCCATGACCAAGGAATTCTGGGACATGTATGAAGATGTTGACATTCCCTTGCCGAAAAATGGCGACATGCCACAAGACCAGCAGGATCCCCATTCGCAGCGTGTTTTGAAGTGCATTGACTTGTGGGGCAAAGAAATGCCGGAAGAACGGATCAAGGCCGCCCGCCGCGCCTACTATGCGGCTTGTACCTACGTTGATACTAACGTCGGTAAACTGTTGAAGGTCCTGGACGATTGCGGCTTGACCGACGACACAATCATCGTTTTTACTGGTGACCACGGAGACATGTTGGGCGAGCGCGGACTCTGGTACAAGATGGTCTGGTACGAGAACTCCGCGCGTGTGCCCATGATCGTGCATGCGCCCAAGCGTTTTGCCGCCAAGCGTGTTCCCCAGAATGTATCGACGATGGACCTGTTGCCCACCTTTGTCGATCTGGTCGGCGCGCAGTTGGTTCGGGAATTGCCCCTGGACGGTGTGTCGTTGATTCCATACCTGACCGGCGAGGACGGTCTCAAAACCGATACTGTATTGGGCGAGTACATGGGTGAAGGGACACAATCGCCAGTTGTGATGATTCGTCGCGGCCGCTGGAAGTTCGTGTACTCCCTGATTGACCCACCCATGCTCTTCGATGTGGAAACAGACCCTGAAGAAAAGGTGAACCTGGCGGCTGGCTTGCCCGTTCCGGTGCGACTCAATGCAGCCAAATCTATCTCAGGATCGCAGTTGCAGCCGGCGTCCTTGCCTACTCCCGCTGAGTCTCCGCGTGTATCGCCTCGACCACAGCGTGGCACATCGTCCGCATACCCATTCCCTAGTCCCCCACGCACTCCTAGTCCAGGTAAAGAAGTGCCTGAAATGCCGACCACTACCGAGCCTGCCAAGATCCTGGCATACTTCCTGGAAGAAGCACAAGCCCGCTGGGATTTGGAGAGCATCACCGAAGATGTGCTGCGGTCACAGCGCCGGCGACGCCTCGTTTACTCGGCTTTGATCCAGGGCAACCCGGCTATTTGGGACTACGAGCCGCGTATTGACCCCAGCACACAATACGTGCGCAACCAAGGCAAGGGTGTTTTGGACGACGTTGAATTTATCTCTCGCTGGCCCCGTGTGTTGCAGCAAGCCGCCAGTGCTATGGGCACCAAGGTTTGAGTCTATTGAACAAGCAGCTTGGGGGAATAAAAAAAAAAAAAGGAAACGGAAAAGAATATTATTTGAGAACTCGGCATGGTTCTGCTTCCACGTTTATTCATTCATATTTTGTTTTTGGTTTTGGATATGTTCCGATGAGCTTGATTTCCTGATGATTTAGTTAGCGAGGCGCTATACCCGGCATTGTTTGCATTCCCAGCGTTTGCTCGAGTCTGTATCGATTGGTGAATGCTTTTTATTCGGGATCTCTGGCAGATTGGTACGGCAGTGCTGTACATAGGAATATAGGAGAGAGGCTGCCTGCGTGTATGATAGACCAGAATGAGCGACAGAATGAATGTACAAGAAAGATACTAAATCTGTGGAGAGAGAAGCGGGTCTCATTACGAATTGGTTGGTGACTCACCCGGCGATTGGTTCCGTATTTCGGGGTTTGATTGATATCCCATCTTTAAAATCCCCACATCCACTCTTGGCTTCCTCAACAATCAACAGAGCAAACAAGTTTCCATCTACCAAACATGCCGTCCAAGATCACTGTAGGCGTTGCCCAGGCACGCACCCAGGATACCGTCACCGAGACTCTCTCCGCCCTCAGCCGCATTACTCGTCATGCCGCCTCCCGCGGCGTCCATCTGCTCCTCTTCCCTGAGGCCTATCTGGGTGGATACCCACGTACCTGCAGCTTTGGCACTGCCATCGGTGCGCGCCAGCCTCAGGGACGGGAACAGTTCTTGAACTACTTCCATTCCGCGGTGGATCTCGGGGATACCCCCACGGGAGCGGGTGATGACTGGGTGCAGAGGAAGCTGCCCGTCGCGGAGGGCAAGAATCATCGAGGCGACGGTACCCGAGAGACTCTTGAGCGGATTGCGAAGGAGACGGGCGTCTTCATCGTTGTGGGCGTCATCGAGAGAGCCGCGGGCAGTTTGTACTGTGCTGCGCTTTACGTAGACCCTTCGAGGGGAGTGCTGGGAAAGAGGAGAAAGGTCATGCCTGTAAGTCTTACAGCCCGGTTCAATCAAATCCAGAAGAAGAGAAGGTAGTTGACCCCCCAACAGACTGGATCGGAACGTCTCGTCTGGGCCCAGGGCTCCCCATCAACCTTGAAGGCCGTGACTACCCATCTCAACGGGGTCCCCGTGACCCTGGCGGCAGCTATCTGCTGGGAGAACTACATGCCCCTTCTCCGACAGAGTCTGTACTCACAGAACGTGAACATCTATTTGGCCCCTACAGCAGATGCCCGGGACACATGGCTGCCCCTGATGCGGACCATCGCATTCGAGTCGCGGGCGTATGTACTGAGCGCAAACCAGTGCGTCCGGTATAACGAACTCCCGGAGTGGGTCACTGGCGAACGGGATGAGAGTAAGTTCCTCGTGTTAAACACTTCGTGGTGCAATTTTGTTAATAATGACAACAGAGATCTCGACCCACTACGTCAGCCGCGGTGGTTCCTCTATCGTTGATCCCCAGGGCCAGGTTATTGCGGGTCCTATCTGGGAGGTTTCTGCTGACGATGTGTCTGATTCTGCGGCTGATGTCGTGGGAGACGGGCTGATTATCTCGGATATCGATGTCGAGGACTGCGAACGGGGTAGATTGGACATGGATGTGGCAGGCCACTACTCGAGAAATGATGCATTTAAGTTGACGGTGGAAGGGCTGGATCTCAACCCACCTCCTCTCTGAATGCAAAACGGTATAGCAATTCTAGCTGCATTTACTACATGTGCATGGTACCTATATAGCTGGAGCTTAAGCTTTGTGCATACATGTGTCAATGTTTACCAGCAATTGATAAGACGACCCTACTGGATTGAACCTCGGAAAGTTGATCGAGTGGTAGTACTGTAAACAAGACGTCATTTGTCACATAATGGGTTAAATATTTCGAAGTTTGCAGCATTGTTTATGACGTGTTTGATAGCTGGACTCATGAGCATCTAGAATTGGAGGATTGGCAAACTCATCTAGTATGCGATGGGCATATCTTTAGCTACTTAGCTATATAGTTACATCATGATAGACCATCATATAGTCGCTTGAATAGTAGGCTGAGCTTATAGATAAACATTGCCAAGCTAGTCAATCGATACCTTAGGATCAGACAAAAAAATGAAACACCGCAGCACGACATGAAAACCGACGTCTGTGTTGTCGGCTCCGGGATAGCGGTATATATCCACGGCCAACGAGCTCATCACTCGCGGCAAGAGACACCTCGCTCACCTCCTCATCGGCGTGATTTATTGTTCCTTCTGGTTCCACTTGTACTTTGATCTGATCACATGTTAAGGCCATAGAAACAAACAATGTACAGCGGTGATACGAGCACTAACATATCAGCCTTTAGAGCCCATCCGAGTGGATGCAGAAGAATGACATTCAAATTATAGATTGATAGACACTGAAAGAATATACTACATACAATGGGCCACTTGAAGTGGGGTTTCGGACTCCAAGTCCTTCCAAGGAGCGGCTCTTACCAGTTTGAGATCTTTAACATATATTTCAAGGATGGTACAAACAGGGAACATCTTTTCAAGCAGATAGCACATGAATAACATGTTCTGTGCTCACTGTCTGCTCTTCTAGCTAAATGAATGCTTAGGGCAACGGGACCCAGTGATCTCCCCCAAGTGTGGGGAAATCCAGACTAACCTCGGCTGCCAAACAACTTACCCCATACTCCATCTTCCAACGCCCTTATTTAATCCCTTTTCTTCAGGTCACATCTGTGCAACCAGCGATCTGTATATTATACCTTTAAAGAAGTCAAGATGTCGAATGCCCCCAGCTACCCAGCCATTGCCCAACGTAAACAAGCACACCTGGAATCGCAAATCCCCGCAGAATGGAAACTTCCCGCTTCTCAGATACCCTCGGGAATGCTCTCCCTGGAGGATTCTATCACCAATGCTAAGCAGTATCAGCGGGTGAATGTCATGAACGTCCCCAGAACATGTGGCTTACTCACAGGTAAGGAATTGGAAATTACCGAGAACTGGGATATTCGGGGTCTCTTGCGAGTCATCGCAGAGAAACGGTACACAACGGAAGACGTGGTCAGAGCTTTCTGCAAGGTATGTTTCCCATTGATTTCCCTTCTAGTTTTACAATTGCGTTCTATGATCAATAGTAACATCATCAGCGCGCGGCAATCTCTCACCAAGTGACCCGCTGCTTGAGCGAACCGCTTTTCGACCGTGCCCTGCAACGGGCCAAAGACCTGGATCGTCATCTCCAGAACAGCGGGAAACCAATCGGCCCCTTGCATGGTCTGCCAGTGTCCGTCAAAGATTCTTTCCACGTGAAGGGCGTGGACTCGACCACAGGCATAGTCGCTCTCGCATTCAAACCCGCTACGCAGAACTCGCCTCTAGTAGATCTCCTCGAATCCCTGGGCGCCGTGATAATCGGCAAGACCAATGTTCCCCAGACCATGGGCACGCTGGACAGCTGCAACCACCTCTTTGGCCGGACTCTGAACCCCCTCAACCGCCAGTGGACCGCGGGCGGCAGCACAGGCGGCGAAGGCGCCTTGATCGCCATGCGCGGGTCCATGGTCGGTTTTGGGACGGATATCGGCGGCAGTGTCCGTGTCCCAGCGATGTGTAACGGCATCTACGGTTTCAAGCCCAGTGTCGGCCGATTCCCCGCCGGAGGCCAGGACGGGGGCCATATACCCGGCAAAGGAAGGGTGTCCCTGCAAGCGGTTGTTGGTCCCCTGGCGCGGTCGGTGGCTGATCTGGGCGCTATCATGGAGGAAGTTGTGCCTCGCGCGGAACTGTTCGGGGAGGATTGTATTCCTGGTCGGTGGCATGGTGAATTCCCTTTGCGGTTGCCCGAGACACAGGCTCGGAATGTTACCATCGGCGTACTTCGCTCGGACGGTATCGTCGAACCCTTGCCGCCTATTGCCAAAGTGCTGGATGAGGTGGCGCAGACACTGCGGAAGACGCCCGGCGTTGAGGTGGTCGAGATCCCTGTGCCGGCGGCGCTAGCCAAATGCCAAGGGCTGGCTGGCAGACTGATGGGTGTAGACGGGGGAGGCCCCATGATGGACTTGCTAGAGAGTACAGGGGAACCGCTGATCCCCTGGCTGCAGGGTCGAATGAAGCGGGGACGGGAATTGACGCTCTCGCAGCTGGGCCAGCTGCAGGCTCAGCGGTCTATCGTCGAACGGGAGCTGCTGAAGATGTGGACTCTCAACAGTGGAACCGGGCGTCGGATTGACGCTATTATCCATCCAGTGGCCCCGCATCCGGTTCCTGAGATTGACCGCTATAATGCTGTGGGATACACGTCTAGCTTTGTCTTGCTAGATTACCCTGCGGCCACCATTCCAGTCCGTCCCTTCAGGGAGTCCGATCTCGAGAGTGGAAAGGAAATGGATGCGCCTGTGTTGGGAAGTTGGGATAAGGCAAACCGACAGTTGTGTATGTTGCTCTATCTACCGCCTTTGATTATCTTCCATTCTAACGCTGATTCAAACAGGGAATGAGAAAACGGTTGATCGCCGGGTATATCTTGATTCACCGCTCAGCATCCAGGTCGTGACACCTAAGCAGCACGACTATGAGCTGTTCCGAACTATGGAAATCATTGACAGGGCTGTCAGGGTACCGGATACGGAGAAGACAGCAGCCAAGCTGTAGAGCTAGCTCTAAACATATCCATATGTTCAAGTACTTCCAAATATGACGAGACATCAAATACAAACTACATACGCTCGCAAAGTATAGCGATAAAAATTAACACACCAAAGATTGATTTAGATAGGATTTAAAGCTTTCCCTTCAAGTGGCTTCCACCATCCGTCGCAATGACCGCTCCATTCAGATGGCTGGCTGCCCGACTTCCGAGGAACACGACCAAACCGGCAATATCCTCGGGTCGACCCAGTCTCTTGTTGGGGGAATGGTCCTCGAGCGACTTCAACCCACCCTGGAGATTAATCAGGCCATCGGCCATCTTCGACGGGAAGAAGCCAGGGGCAATGGCATTGCACAGGATATGCCTGGGACCCAGCTCGACAGCCAAGTTCTTGGTCAAATGAATGACCGCCGCCTTGGAAGCAGAGTAGCTGAAAGTGGCGTTCTCCCCGAGACTACCGACGCCCAGTCCAGCAACAGAGCCAGTGACGATGACTCTTGAAGGTTCCTCGCGCGTAGCCTTAACAGTAAGCAGAGGAGCAAACCTGTGCAGTAATCATTAGCAACCTCGAACATCCCAAGCCAAACGACAAATACAAAAAGATGAGTACTCACTTCTGCACCAGATAAAACACACTCTTCACGTTCAAATCCATAACCTTCGAGAACATCTTCTCAGGGTGTGTGTCGAACTTCTCGCCCCAGGTAGCCCCCGCATTCGCAAACAGAATGTCCACATGGTCCGTGGTCTTCTTCACTTCCTCAACGAGTCTGTCCAGTTCAGAGATCTTCGAGTTATCGGCCGCCACTGAGATGGCCTGTGCGCCGGGTCTCTTGTTCGGGAGGGCATTGAGGGCCGCAACGGCCTCATCGCAGGCCTGGGCTTTGCGAGATGTGATGTAGACTTTCGAGCAGCCTGCTTGGAGCAATCTTTTGTCATACTTCTTGTTAGCGATATGTGTGTTGGGCGGGTGGAGGAATGGGATACGCACCCGCTGGCAGCGTGTAGGCCTAGACCTCTGGAGCCGCCGGTTACGACGGCGACTTTGCCCTCGAGGGAGAAGATGGAGCCGAAGTTGTCGAGCTGGACTTGGTCGGCGACGGACATTTTGATATGTAGATGATATTTAAGATGGTGTTAAGGGCCGGGGATGGGATGGTATGGAATTGAGCAGGTATTTGGAGGAACTGAGCTTAAAGTCATGGTGGAGGTGAATTGGGGTACAAGCAAGATACCGAGGTCGTTCGGGCCAGCCGTTTGGATTCCCCCGCAAAGTCAATTTATGAACTCGGTTGATTAATAATCACTGTATTACCTGGTTATGTAACTTATGTTGAGTTAGCCCTAACTCAGGTTCTCTGTCATGGTTGACGTGCAGGACTGTAGATAGATTCAATTCCCCGAATGACCATTCTCCTCCCTCATGCCACTTCGTTCAGGTCCTCAGACTGTTGGTCTATCTTTCATATGTCTGGTGTTGCGAGTTTGACATGTAGACGAAAGAGCTATCCGGATTACAATATAACTCCACCTTGCTAAATCTGGAGACTCATTTCAAGTTGTCAACCTTGTCAGTGATTTATAAGAAGTCAGAAGTATTATACCCCACGATCCCACAGCTTGAAAGAAAATGGTGTCTGCGAGTTGCCCGTGCATTATGTTTCTGGTGGGGCTATAGCATTGGTTCGTGCTTCATGGCTGACATGCTGTCAAGCACTGATAAACTACGGTCCAACCTATAAAGACACATTTGATCCACACATAACCAGTTCAGCTGGTCCCGTTTGTAATCCACGTCCACCTGCGAATCACATAGACGACAGCAAGAATGTGCTCAATCGAGCGCCAAAGGTCCCCCGAATCCCCTCAAACTCGCTCATAGTCACCATCCGCCGACATGATTGGCCGGATCAAGGTACCTTGGGGGTCCAGCATCCATACTACTACTTACTATAGTAGTATCTGTCAGGTAGGCATATATTCTCCCTTGTCATGACAGAAATCCCTTCCAACCCCTCTTCTCCCTCGTCGTCACCTTCTCATCTTTCACAACACATCCTCTTGAAACCTCACCAAGCAAACCACCCAAAATGGCCACTACATTCTCCCTCCCACCTCTCCCCTACGCTTACGATGTAAACCCCCTCTAATCCCCAGTATATTAGAAAGAAAACTAACCAAATCCTTAGGCCCTGGAACCCGTCATCTGCAAACAGATCATGGAAATCCACCACCAAAAACACCACCAAACCTACATCACCAACCTCAACGCCGCCCTCTCCGCACAATCCACTGCCCTCGCAGCAAACAACATCCCCGAGCTCATCAACCTTCAGCAGAAGATCAAGTTCAACGGCGGCGGCCACATCAACCACTCCCTCTTCTGGAAGAACCTGGCCCCCCACGGCAGCCCCGAGACCGATATCGACCAGGCCGCTCCCGCCCTCAAGGCCACCATCGAGGCGCAGTACGGCTCCGTGCAGAAGTTCAAGGAGGCCTTTGCCGCCGTGCTCCTCGGTCTGCAGGGCAGCGGTTGGGGCTGGTTGGTGGCTAATGGGCCCGGGGGGAAGTTGGAAATCGTCTCCACTAAGGATCAGGATCCGATCACGGATAAGATCCCGGTGTTTGGGGTGGATATGTGGGAGCATGCTTATTATTTGCAGGTTTGTTTTTTTTTTTTTTTTTTTTTTTTTTTTTTTTTTTTTTTTTTTTTTTTTTTTTTTTTTTTTTTTTTTTTTTTTTTTTTTTTTTTTTTTTTT